TAAGCAATAGAAAAAAAGAGTTTGGAAATTTAAATAAATTAATACTTTTCAATTATAATATAAAAATAATTATGTGGAGATAAAAAAAGTGAATTACAAGAGTGAGGGAGAAATAGCAAGAAATTAGGAAGCGCGGGAGATGTGTATATATTAGCAGGAGAGAGGTGTAAATATAAAGGGTGAATGAGCTACTAGTCAAAGGACTTTTAGCAAGAAGGTGCAATTGTCTCACTTTCACCAACATATGATCCATGTTGCTAATTAGTGGTTAGATGAGGTGATTATCAATAGCAATATGATATATGTGGGTAATGCTCCAGCAAAATTTAGAAAATTTCAACAACATGGGTCTTGTTGCTAAAATTCACTTTCAGCAACAAGAACCATGTTGCTGAAAGTGCATCTCATTCTACCACCCACCCTGTCGCTGGGATTGCTTGGTTCGTGGGGGCTGGAGGTTGGGAGCACTTTCAGCAACAAGAGGCTTGTTGCTGAAAGTGCAAGAGCTGATCAAAAGAGGGACACTTTCAGCAACCTGTCCCTTGTTGCTGAAAGTGCAAGGGGTGGCCGGTCGGAAATGCTAGTAACAAGGGCACTTTCAGCAACATGCCCCTTGTTGCTGAAAGTGAATGGGATGATGCCGGTCAAAGACGTCAATATCAGCAATATATTCCTTGTTGCTGATGTTTGATTGGTAAAAAAAGGCAACAACAGCAACAAGGTATATGCTGCTAATACTTAAAGTAGTTGGCAACTTTTTCAGCAACATATCTCTTGTTGCTGAAAAATGCAGCTCATTCAAACGGCAAAGCATTCACCGGAAAATATTAGCAAAATGGTATATGTTGCTGAAAGTAACTTTCAGCAACAAGAAGTATATTGGTGAAAGTGTGGCAGCTTTTTGCATGAATTGGTACACTGTAGCACTTTCAGCAACCTAAAGCTTGTTGCTAATACTTATTTTTAGCAACAAACAATCCCATGTTGCTGATATATTGTTGGTAAAACCCAAGATTTTAGTAGTGTAGGGATGGTAATAGTAATTATCAAACGTCCAGTGGAGCCAGTTTGTTAGTTGAAGCTATTATAAGTCGACAGACCTGTCATAACAAGACCAGCTGCGGCACCGAGGAAGACCAAGAAGCTCCAGGGACTACTGAAATGGGTGTAATAGAAGTAAGCAACGTCACTGGCCCATATTAAGTCGCAGTGCTCTAGGATACGATCTTTCAACTCTTTGTACTTCAGATGATTCGGCACCAGGTAGTCGCTGATTTTGTTGAACATCTCTGCCACAGCTTCATCGCTTCCAAGTCCGTTGAACAGCACACCTGCTTCTCTCAGTTCCTTCACATCCTCCCCACTATCGATCAAGGATTCGAGAAATGCTATGTACGAGGAGATCTCAAACTTGTTTTTGAAATCTGAAGACATCTCGTATGCTATCAAGTTCAGCAAAATTGGCATGGTGGTGTCGTCCACTGAAATGGGAGCCAGCATAAGGGTTGGCAAGCAAGAACGGTAGTTGAAATCAATGTCTGTGATGCCATCAATCTTTTCCTTCGCTTTAAAACGAACACCCTTGGCTTTCAGCTCCTTTACGTTGCGAAATGTGGGCAATTTTCTGCTTTTATTACCAGAAGGGCACCATTTCCTCATCAGTTTCCCCAGAAGACTATCTTTATCTTTCGGCTTCCCTTGTGATTTGACTCTTTGTCCTATCAGTTCACTTCGCAACAGTGCCAGAAGATGAAAAGGCTCTTCTTCTTGTTGTCGCTGCTCAGCACAAAGAGGAGTCTGAGAATCAACCTGAGCATGAATGGGTACTGATATTTGCTCGGCCGAACTCAAGAATTTCTCCTTGATGAATTGGCCGATGCAAACCTTCAATACTTCCTGAGGATTTTCTCCTCCTCCATTTGAGACTTTAATGCACAAGTCTATCAATATCTCAAGGAGTTGGAAGGGTAGTTGGTTCTCAAGTAAGAATACATCAAGGGTCACAAAGGCGCGTTGATCATTCTTACCACCGAATTCCTCCCACTTATTCTTCACTTCAAGGAAAATGAATTGCAACAATGCACAGCCATCCACAAGGAACATCCAAGCCAACTCCTCATCTCCCCACCCAGCTACGTCCATGGGGTCATAGCACTCCCTCAAGCTTTTTATCTCCTTCTTGACCTTTTTGTAGAAATCATCCTTCTTACTTCCGCTATAGTGGATGAACATCGTCGCGAGTCGTTGCTTGAACGTCTCAGCTTCTTCCAATATCGAGTCCAGTGTAGAATTTTCTACATGGTGGAGGGGACCAAATGAAACAAAAATTGGTTTGAAATATCGATCCGTTTTCTTCTCATCGTAGTGCTTGCGCAGTGCAAGCATAGCCTTTCGTATCAATGGCTTGTTTGATGGACTGGAAATGGGGACATGAAAATTTCCATCCTCCAATAACTTCAGTTTCTCACTCTCCTGTTCGGTGAGTGTGATCTGAATTATTTCATGGTCCATGTTGAGCAAGTCTACTCGTTTCACGGTAAAACGTCAGCCTTGCAAGGCATTAGACCAAATTCCTTATTTGCCCATGTATGTACTTTTTTTCACTATCAATATTTTAAATTAATTTTTTTTAGTCTTCACCCTCCGCATAATGTTCACACCAACACCTTGTGCCACGTAATGCACAAGTTGATGGGATTTAACGTGCACGTGATAGATCTGCCAATTTTTGAGTTTTGTTGCGGTTTATAAAAATCTAATATGGCGAGGTTTTGTAATGATGTGGCAGCCACTTATGAAATGGGGCCCACTATTACGACAATTACCGTCTCCCTCAGGCGACCAATCTGATCTTAACTCCATTGACGAAATCAAAGGATTTTTCCTCTGGGTTTGCTGCTTTCGTGCTTGTGAACATGAATCAATTCGGAATGTGATTAGGATTCCATGTGTAGACCCCTTTTTAAATAAGTAAAGTGACAGAAAACCCCTTTTAAATAAGGAAAATGACAGAGCAAAAACTTGCATATGTATGAACTACGGGTGTTATTGAACGAACTCAGCATTTTATTAAGATAATTTAAAAATTATTTAATTTGATTGATATTTTATTTATTTATAATATTTTTTAAATAATTAATTATAATTCATCATTTAATTCTGAAACCATGTGTCAAGACGGGAATCAACCTATTAAGACTTCGAAAGACTACTTCCACCCCACTAGAATAGCTACACCATCATGCACAATGTTTTGCTTCTAATACACCACACTTTGAGTTCAAACTTGGAATGATTCAGCTTTTGCCTAGTTTTCATGGTTTAGAGAATGAAAATCCATATGTCCATATTAGGGAATTTGAGGAGGTAATAGCTACTTTTTATAGTTGAGCTGATACTATAAACACAGTTAGGTTGAAATTCTTTCCTTTCTCCTTGAAAGATAAAGCTAAAATTTGGTTATATTTTTTGAGATTGAGATCTATAGGTACATGGGTAATGATGACCCAAGTTTCTTTAACAAGTACTTTCCACATCACAAGACTGATAATTTTAAAAGACAGATCTCCACATTTTCTCAAAAGGATAGTGAAACCTTATACCAAGCATGGGAAGGGTTTAAGGAATTGCAAAACTTGTGTCCACATCATGGGTATGAAACTTGGAGGTTGGTTAGTTATTTCTATGAGGGTTTAAATAGTAGGGTGTATCAATTCATAGAGATGATGTGTAATGAGGAGTTTTTGCATAAGGACCTAGAAGAAGCCATAAATTATTTAAATGAGTTAGTTGAAAAAGCTCACATTTGGATAGGACCTAATGCGACTAATAGTACTAGTAGTTCACGATCATCTAAGATTTATCACCTTAGGGAGGAAGATAACCTTAAAGACCAATTGGAAGTTGCAACTAACGAACTTGAGAGCTTAAAAATGAATAATAATAGAGTCACCCACACAGTTGTTAGGGTAGAAACTCAGGTTCCATGTTTTTTTTGTGTGGGGGATTGGATCATTTAGCTTAGGATTGCTCAACCTATGGTAAGATGAGAGGGATTTATGAAGAACAATGCAATGCATTAAGAATGGTTAGGAAACCTTTCTTACCCTATTCAGAGACATACAATCCTAGTTGGAGATGTACAACAAGATAGAAATCCTTTAGAGGAAAAACTTAGGGCATTTATGGAGGCACAAACTAAGACTAACCAAAAATTTGATTCCATTCTTACACAGATGGTTGAAGAAAACAAGGATATCAAGAGTCAACTAACTAAGTTGACCAATGCTCTTACTGTCCAAGAGCAAGGTAAGATTCCATCCCAACCTCAAGCTAATCCTAAAAATTTACATGTGGTGCAAGAATCTACCTCTAATTTGGAGAACATAAAAAGGGCCAACGATATTACTACTCATATTGGTAAGGTTATAGAGCCATTGCCAAAAGCACCTCAATTGAAGGATGCTACTCCAAGTAGACATGAAGACAACCTGTTGAAAGAACTTGAGAAGGAGGTTCCAATTCGAGTTCCTTTCCCTCAAGCTCTTAGAACTGGAAAGATTTCAGGCAACTAAGGTGAGATTTTAGAGCATTTGAAACAAGTTAAGATTAATCTACCTTTGTTGCATGTGATTAAACAAGTACCAACTTTTGCCAAGGTAATCAAGGATCTACATGGGGATGTCAACGGGGCCTCACAAGGCTGAGGAGTCTTTCCCCATCCCTATCCCCGCGAATGGTGGGGATAAGGATCCCTGTAGGGATTTTTAATAAGGGGCAAATTTTGCCCCCCATTCCCCACCAATTAATATCAAATGATAAATCTTTTACATATAATTAATTAATATTCAATTACAATGAATAAAATTCTAAAAATTAAATACAATTAACAAAAATTCTTTAAATATAAAATCAAATATAAATTGTCCAAAGATAAATAAAAATCAATTCAACATAAATAACTAAACTAACAAATTTGTTCCAAACATAAATAAAGATTAATCCAAGCTAAACCAATATACTTGTGATTATCAAAATATCACAACCACATTGCTCAAAGTATTTAAAGGCCACTTTCACTTTCAGATGTCTTCCCTAGAATACATTTTAACTTCAAATTGTCAAGACTAAAGGATCACAAGTGAAGTGAGCAAGCACATAGACACGTCAAGAAAGAATAATACATTGCGGGCAAGATCAGAGGGAACAGTTCTTGTTTCTTGAACAATATATAACACAATCAACGATGCCCATGTCAAAACAATATTAGGGTTTACAAGCTTCAATCTACTCTCTTTAATAAAGAAATGGACGCTCTAAGAATTATCAATGATCAACCTAATAAAATTAAAGGAATACAGAAGAAACACTAATCAAATCATAATTATTATTAAAAAAAAATGAATCTTTTTCTTTCATTCATATTCTACCCAAGTAACCCAATCATGAACCATCTATAGATTTACATATGATGTCTTGGTTAAATTTGCTTAGCTTTTAAGTTGAAAACTTATAACCTAAAGTAGTAGAAATCAACTAACAATTGTCCAACTTTAGAATTTCAACAAAAACAACCTACTTTTAGTAAATACTAAACCTCAACCCATACATCAACTACTGGAACAAATAAAAAGGGGGGAAATTGATTTTATAAAGGAAAATCGAACTGGTGGAGACAAACACATATGAATATAGAAAGGGGAAAGAAGCTAACTTGGAAGCGGCAGAGGATTCTTTTTCTAGCTAGTGGCGTATGTACTTGACATTATGCCTAAAAATCACTGCCGATTGCTTCACATCGCTCCTCAATAGAAGAACCACCACACTGACACCGACCACCATCAATATGAAGTTTGTCAATATGAGCACTGTGGTCCCGTTCCTTGTGATGGGCAACAAGAAGACGGTGATTGTGATGGCTAGTAGAGTTAGAGATCGAGAGCTTCTCATTTTAGTTGCAAATTAGTCTGGTGAAAAGATGAAAGTAAGGGCAGAAGGGTAAGAATTAAGAAGGGCAAAAGGGAGAAAAAGGCAGAAGGGTGGCAATGGAGGTAATAGGGTCTGAGATTCTTGAAGAAGAGTGTAGATGGTAGAGCTGTAGAAGGGGAGGGGAAGCTAGGAAGGTGAGAGTGATGAGAAATGAATAAGGATTAGGGTTACATGGTTAATAATGGGTTGGGTTCAGTTGAGTAAAATTGGGTTAAGTTTAATTTTTATTGGATTAGGTTTAGGTTTGGGTTTGGGTTTGAAGGTTGAATTGAATTTAAAATAAAATTAATTTACATATTTTTTAATTTTTGTGAGGATGGAGATCCTTGGGGGGCCTTGCAGGGAGAGGAAAATTCCTCGCAAAATTTCGTAGGGGGAAAATGCCCCCCATCCTCGCCCCGTCCCTTTGGTGGGGATCCCCACGGGGCCTCGTAGGGATTGGGGCGAATTGCCACCCCTAAATCTATGCACCATGAAAAGGAAACACCATGTCAACAAAACTGCATTCTTGATAGAACAGGTAAGTGAGTACAAAGATCTAGAGTGCCCAACAATTTCTTGCCAAATTCAGTCACAAGAGTTTGGTCAAGCTCTTTTGAATTTAGGAGCAAGTGTGAATTTAATGCCTTATTTAGTTCATTTGCAACTAGGTTCTAAAGAGGTAAAACCCGCATATGTGGTGTTATAGTTGGCTGATCGTTCTTGTAGGAAACCAAGAGTGATAATAGAAGATGTTTTGCTTTAGATTGATAAATTTTATTACCTTGTTGATTTTCTTGTTTTAGATACTTAGTATGAAGTTAACAGTGAGTCAAAGATTCAAAGATTCCACTTATTTTAGGAAGACCATTTCTCGCTACTGTTAATGCTTTCATTAATTGTAGGAATGGTTTGATGAAACTTTCATTTGGGAATATGACTCTTGAGGTGAATATATTTTTATGTTGGGAAGCAACCACAAGAAGATGATGAATGTTATCATTCCTACATGATATCTTCACTTGTTGAGGAAGTATAAGAAAGGGAAAATTCTAAATCTCTAGAACACTTCCTCTGTGATTTTGATTTAAACTTTGAGTTTTTGCTTTATCCTGTTAATGATATTTC